GAATACCTATTGATGATCGCATATTACTTTTGTCGTACTTGTTTCCGAGTGTAATTCCCATTGGCTTTTGAAGAATAATTAGGCATGACCGCGAGCATAAACATATGTTGGCACTAGTTGATGAATGTTCACCGACGGCTAATATATGTAGTAAGTCACCCGAGAGGGTGTTTTCCGCAGAGTTATTTCTGCAAGCGCACCCAAGTCGCGTTATTTTATGTCCGCAAGCGTAATGGAAGTGTTGGTGGATTTTTGATGTTATGTGGCGGTTATCCCGCGGTGACTAATGGACTTCGGCGCCAATTTTCATAGCAACTTTCAGTCTATTTTTGTAGATCCTTCAATATATTGATCTACTTCGGACTATAGATTCATTTCTAAGGGCGTTAAAAAGGTGAAATTTCAAGATTGGAGTATGCATCAGAAAGCACACAGGAAATGCTGGAGCGTCCACTGAGGAGCCGCGTTTCTCACAGCTGTGTCAAGCCGCGACAGAATATAATTGACCAGAGGTCATTTTGGTTGAAGATCTGTTTTGCAGGCGCATGCGAGCAAGTTTTTGTTCAGTTAAAAAAACACATCAGAAATGTTGGTTTATGTTTCGCATGATTTGGCATCAAGGTAAGATTGCTATGATGGTAGCCTCAGACGGTAGCTGAAATAGGATTTTTACGATGTTTGCAGATGTATGGCATTGACCGTCAATAAATAACTTTAAAATGCAAAGATATTCTTAGGCTAACACAATAACTTGACAAAAGGCTAAAATTCTTTTTTCCTTTCCCTAACAAGCGTAAGAGGGGGGGGGGTTTAGCTTCTTAGATGTGCGTGTTTAGTTCGTTGTGCAGTCAGTAGCTTTAGCCTACTCTCGTAATTATTCTAGGCACGATTGCCGTGCCCATATTACGTTACATTTTAAGCAGAATCTCTATTTGTTTCACCAATATTTTACCCCCTCTAATTACACTCCCTTGAAAATTTAGTTACGCGAGGTGCATTCGGAAACTAATCGACTAATTGAGAAGCGAATGGTTGCCGCGGACCCCCTAGAGGACAAAGTCAGTCTATTTCGTCAGCAGGCGAACATTGCGGCCAATCGGAAGGAGTCTACTGCCAGCGCGCTGGCCGAGGCTAGGGAAAAATTAGTGACAGCCCAACAACAATTAGAAGCGGCTCGTGCTAAATTGGCCAAGGTTGTGGATGAGAGCCGCAACGAGACAACGGATGACTCCTTCACTCCCGTCTCCATACCCAGGGCAGAAGATGTAAGTATTGATTTTGAGCTTAATCATTTTCAGTTATTTTGGAAAAATACTCTTGAGCATTTTTTCCCCTATGCAACTTAGGGTACCTTTCGTTTAAAGTCATTTATTTAGTTTAGTAAGGGAACCCTAGGTTCTCATCTTTCCCTTAACCAGCGTATGGCTGTCTGTCCCCAGTCATTCAGAACAACTTAGCCTAACGCCTTGAGGTGCTCTGCAGTGTTTAGGAAGAAATAAGGGCAACGAACGTTTATACAACCCTATAACCAAACTCAATGAATAGGTGGGCATTTAATGCGAGAAAGGTGGCAATGGAGGTTGGACAGTTTAAAAAAAGGAATACAAATCAATTTATATGCCTACGTCATCGTTTAAGTAAACTTTTTTTAGCACTGAATTAGAGCATATTAGCCGCCTACCTATCCACGCTTACCTACGTGCAAACCTAATCTTAACTCCAACCCAACCGTATACATTGTGTTATTTAGGGTTAGCATTCGTTGCCGGCGAAGAAGAGTCGCATAAACATTCCTTGTCGAAATAAGCACAGTTATCCCCAGCTTTTTAATTTTTTAATTCCCATTCTTTGTTCTTTTCCTCAATTCTTAGATCTTCATCATTAAATAAAACTCATAATTCAATACTTAATGTTAAAAAACAGAGATATAGCGTGTTCCCTTCCGTTGAATCGCCTCATTTTTGCCAAACCTGTATCAAATTTGTACTTAAAGTTTTGTTCCGTATCATCTGTTTCAAGCAAACAGCAGGCATGTTCTTTTTTCTTTGCCGTAAGGACGTTAGGCACCCGCAGAAACACTAATCTACAATTTTAACACGTAATAATAGACGTAAATGGTCTGCATCTGAAAAAAACTTCGGGATTTCCAAACCATAGCTAAACAAAACAGTTGGTAAAGCAGCAAGTGCTGGACGCGACGGCGGAGACAGACGCCGTAATGGATGGTGGATGACATTCTTCCTGCTTCACCACCAGCTTGGCTTGTGAATGTTTCATAAGTAACTGATGTGACAGATCCGTGCCCACACATTGCCGCCACGTCTTTCGATCTCTCGTTCCTAAGACCGAAAAGTACTTTTTCCACAACAAGCCCTCTATAAAACGCCAGTTCTGGATGTGCTGGGGAGTATGCAACCTGATCAGTATTCTCTTATTGCGTTTGCAAACAGCTAGTGTATAGGAATGCGTTTTTTTAAAGATCGGTACTGCTAGCCTTGAAAGTGGAAACTGAGTTATGAACGACGGCCAGCGGAGCGCACTTAATCGACAGCAGTCACGCATTTTTTATTTACATTCCTACCTTACGGGCGTATGGTTCGAAATATCTTGCAGCATTCCCTCCCGAGGCAAACCTGCCTTACAAGGCAGTCGAATATGAAATTATCCATTGGATTGATGCTCTTTCATGTCTATCACCAGACTTATTTATCGGGAATGTAATTCAGCTTTGTAGGATACAAATAATAAGTATAAATTGTAGTATGGAAGTATGCAAAGGGGAGCGTCGACAAAGATAAGAGAGAATGCAATGGCTACTCCTACCTTATTAGCCACTGTCATCGAACCTTATCGAAACATTGGTTTGCTGTTCTATGGTCATTAAACGTGAGTGATTTGAGCGCTCTACCAATCTAACCATAGGCTCATCAGCCTGTCTATTGCGATCGGGAAGTTGGTTCGGTGATCAGGTTGAAGGATATATTCGTTCCGCTCTGCCCTACGACTCGATCTAGAGCCACGCTGGCAGTCGCATAGTGACTACTAATATGTGCACAAGGCAAATAGTGACGTAGAAAAGGCAGGCTGAAATGGCAATTTCTCTTTTTTTGGCTGTTGTTAGTCAACATTACCAAAACCCAGGTTTGTAGGACCTGATTTTGCAATTCGCGTTCCTTGGTCATCAAACGTTTTTAAGACCAACGCTCAGAATGCAACTCCAGGGTACAACAGTATGAGCATGCTCCGTAGCCAGATATGTCAACGCAGTTGCAACATAATCTAGAAGTAGTTGCCGCGAAGAAGACTTAAAGGGCTGCCGCTCCTTATTTCCAGCTTCTCTGCTCTCTACACTGATTCGTTCTGATATACGTTTTGCTCACTGTATACTGCAAATGTAATCTGACCTACTTGTTAAAAACTCGGCGGCCTCGGTGAGATTTGAGCCCACGCAGGCAAGGGGGAAGCTATAGTACAGCCAATGCTCTAACAAACGGAGCTACGAGGCTCCCACTGAGAGCCGTGCGTTTAATCATACTTGGATTGATTTATCCACCCAGCCTACTGCGACGTATGAAATCTATCATTTCTGATTTCATTTTTAGTTTTAACACAGTAGCTTCGACATAGTTCTTGCACTTTGCTGCTGACAACCTTTGTATGGAAAGGCAGTATTAACACGCCCTTAAACGTCAGGAAAGCAAATAACACATCCAATAACGGACTTAAATGTTGGATACAATCATTCACTTGCGTAGGTAGCGATAAACACATCCAGAATGCTTTCTGTAGGATATTCAAAAGCAGAGTGACAGCGGTCCATTTTCGTCTACTTACTAATGTTGCTTGGCACTTCTAAAACCGTTTGCTTAGTGATGCCTGAGAGACGACCTTCATGGTTACCTCCGGCCTCATAAGAGCGTCTGCAAAGCTCATAAGCAGAAATCTTAACGAATAGTTTGAGGAAAGTCAGCCGACTAACTAACCCAAATAGTTATGAGTATCCTACAATGTAAGATACAAATTATGCTATTAT